GCGCAAAAGAAAGCCCCGCAAGCTCAGCGGGCCGGTACGTCGGATAGCCCGGGTGCCGTAACACTTCTAGCCGAGCAGCCTCTGCGCTCGGTGACCTGTAAAAGCGCTCGCGCGCCGTCGTCCATCCTTTGGTGGAGGGCACAGGGTTGTGAACGAGCTCAGCCGAACCAAACTCGGCGGAGCCTCGGAAGTGATCTGACTTGGTTAGTCGGAACCGAGTGGAAGCGAGCCACTCGTCTGTCCCGGAAGGGCCGGACCGCGAGGGGACCACCCTCTGCGCAGGCCATACAACCGCCGACCTAACTCGGCGAATTGTTGTGGTTTGTGTAAGGAATCCACATCTGACGGTATTTGTGTGTTCTACTACACCACAGTATATTGTACGGAAATCTCTTTGTACCAATAATCCGGAATTCCGTCAATACAATTGCGCAAATATCATATTATAATAACTTTTCCGACCCCTGTGTACTCCCCCTTTCCATAAATGTGGTGCTGAGGCTTTTTTTTAGGCACAGACACTCATAGGTCTTCACAGCTACGAGCTTCTCAGCAGCAGTCAATTTCTTACCGGCGACCATTTGGAAAGTAGTGAACATTATTAGATGCGGTGAAGTTTCTACGAGAACACGTAGACATCAAACTTTCAATTGCGGGGACACACAACTGAATCGGTGCAACGGCTGCCGAGTTTGCTTCTCTAATTTAAGACAGAATACATTACCATATTCGTCCAAGCCTTTTTGGCCGGAATTATAGGACATAGTTTAGCGAAGGTCTGGGCATTACAGGCTTTCCATCTGTCCACCAGATCGATTTTTTTCGGAAGTCGTCGGCAAGCAGTAGAGCGCGGGGCTCCCACGTCCGCTGATAGTACCGTCGTTTCTTGACGAGGCGGTGAACCCACAACACCTGGTAATGGTACTCTAGAAGAGTGTCACCACGCCTGTCGTTAATCCCAGCGTCCGGCCACTTTTCTTTAATTGTGCCAAACTTTGCGGTAACAGTCAGCTTAGATTTGGCGTAGTCATTTCCGTAAATGTGCCAGTACATTTTATACTCACTACTGTCACTATCGTCGCTAGTATGTGTCGCTAGACACATATTTGCTGTCAGAATTTGTTAATTTTGTGGTTTCTGAGCGGATACTGGGAGTATCGCACATTTCCCCCACTTAAATAAAATTGGTCTGAGAGCTGGCCACGTTGGAGCGAGTGTCGGCCTCCTGGTCCTCCAC